TTTTATGGATCATGATGTCTATTCTTCAATCTTTGCAATTTGATCAACTTTCAACATTTTATTAAATTAAATATTGGTAGTAGTGTGGTTCGCAGTACTTGTACGGACAGATATAAGTACTACGTACTGGAAATTGAAGGTAAAATTGAAACGGACAGAAGTGGAAAATGGGGAGAGAAAGGAAAACGGAAAGCAATCAAAATAACAACAGGAATAAAAGAATGATGGAGTTTGTAAAGGACAACTCAAGGAAGATGGGAAAATAGTGCATTTAATGTATTCTTTTCATATTTTACAAATACGGTGTGATGTCGTATAATATAACCATAACCAAATCTACGTTTGTTACAGTAGTTTAATTGGCTTAATAATAGGGTACATGCCCTCCATGACTGAACTTTCAATTTGGTGCAAAACCTCAATCCTCATTAACATAAATCTGATTTTTTCGTTAGCACAGTATACTATTATTAATATCACTCTTAAGAAATAAATACTGATTGAAAACAATTTTAACAGCAGAAAAAAAACGTTTTCATATTATTCGAATCAAAATGTTTACGAGAAAAATAAAAATGTTGATCAGATGAAAAACTTATTGATTGATAACTAGCATCATGCGTATAAAGGAAGTACATAACATTTCGGTGAAGTAAGCTGACAAATATTTACATAGTATAACCACCAATACATATATGGGGTAAAACTATGCAGCAATCGGATCATACTTAGCTATATAATATCCAATAATGAGAACATACAAATAAAAAATGTACAAAATAGATGGAATTGTACAACAAAAGTGTACATTAGTCGTTAAATAGGCCTAATAAGGGAAGTAAACATGTGATGTGTGTGTTTGTGTGAAAAACGTAATAGAATATTATAAGAACAAACTTATTTTAATAAAAACTCCGCCTGTAGCTCCTCTGGGGGTTACTGCCGGTCCCAAGCCCGGGTAAAGGAGGAGGGTTGGACATGGGGTTAGCGACCCCATCCCGTAGAAAATCAACTCGCTAAAAAAACGCTAACCAGAAAAAATCATTCAAACCATTTAAACTCTGCCCTGGGAGTAGAAGGAATAATTATGACGTCTCATGATGAAAGCTGAGCTCCTTCGGAAGTCATGAGGCCGATGCACCTTCTTACAACCAGAGCGACAATTTTTATAGGTACATGGAATGTCCGAACAATGTGGGAGACCGGAAGAGTTTTCCAAATTGCTGCAGAAATGAGAAAATACAACCTGGAAGTGCTTGGAATCAGTGAAACACATTGGACGCAGGTTGGACAACAACAACTGTCTTCAGGAGAACTTCTGTTATACTCCGGTCATGAAGAAGAAAATGCCCCACATACACAAGGAGTTGCATTGATGCTGTCCAGAAAAGCACAAAATGCACTTATAGGATGGGAATCTCATGGACCAAGGATCATCAAAGCCTCCTTCAGAACAAAGAGAGAGGGCATTACAATGAACGTCATCCAATGCTATGCGCCGACCAATGACTACGATGAAGACGCTAAAGACCAATTCTACGACAGATTGCAGTCGATCGTCGAGAAGTGCCCAACCAAGGACCTGACAATTCTGATGGGAGATCTCAATGCTAAGGTTGGAATGGACAACACTGGATATGAAGACGTCATGGGACAACATGGACTGGGAGGAAGGAACGAAAATGGTGAGAGATTTGCAAACCTATGTGCCTTCAATAAACTGGTCATAGGTGGCACCATATTCTCACACAAAAACATACACAAAGCCACTTGGATTTCACCGGATCACACTACACAGAATCAAATCGACCACATCTGCATCAACAAAAAGTTCAGAAGGACGATGGAGGATGTGAGAACCAGAAGAGGAGCTGATATAGCATCCGATCATCATTTGCTGGTCACCAAGATGAAACTAAAACTCAAGAAGCACTGGACAACTGTGCGGACAACATCACAAAAGTTTGATACGGCCTTTCTTCGAGATGCTGACAAACTCAACAAATTCAACATAGCCCTCAGCAACAGGTTCGAGGCCTTTCATGACCTACTCAATGGAGAGGGAACTACCATGGAGGGCAACTGCAAAGGTATCAAAGAGGCAATCGTTTCAACATGTCAGGAGGTTCTGGGCCAAAAGAAGCACCATCACAAGGAATGGATCACTGTTGGTACACTGGATAAGATTGAAGCAAGGAGGAAGAAGAAGGCAGCAATCAACACCAGCCGAACCAGAGCGGAAAAAGCCAAGGCACAAGCCGAATACACAGAGGCAAACAAGCAAGTGAAGAGGAGCATCAGAGCCGACAAACGTAAATATGTGGAAGATTTAGCAACGACAGCGGAAAAGGCTGTAAGAGAAGGAAACATGAGACAATTGTATGATACAACAAAGAAACTTGCTGGAAATTACCGTAAGCCAGAAAGACCAGTGAAAAGCAAGGAAGGCAAAGTAATCACCGACATTGAAGAACAACGAAACAGGTGGGTAGAACACTTCAAAGAACTCTTGAATCGACCAGCTCCACTGAAACCACCCAACATCGAAGCAGCACCCACGGACCTCCCAATCGATATTGGCCCACCAACAATTGAAGAGATCAGCATGGCCATTAGACAAGTCAAGAGTGGCAAAGCAGCGGGACCAGACAACATCCCGGCAGAGGCACTGAAAGCAAATGTAACAGCAACAGCCAAGATACTCCACATCCTCTTCAGTAAGATTTGGGACGAAGAACAAGTACCAACAGACTGGAAAAAAGGACTTCTGATCAAAATACCAAAGAAAGGTGATCATAGCAAGTGCGATAACTACAGGGGCATCACTCTTCGCTCAATACCAGGAAAAGTCTTCAAACGAGTATTGTTAAACAGGATGAAGGATTCCGTAGATGCCTAACTTCGAGATCAACAAGCTGGATTTCGTAAGGATAGATCGTGCACAGATCAAATCGCAACTCTGCGGATCATTGTGGAACAATCAACCGAATGGAACTCATCACTCTACATCAACTTCATCGACTACGAGAAGGCATTTGATAGCGTGGACAGGACGACACTATGGAGGCTTCTTCGACACTACGGCGTGCCTGAGAAGATAGTAAATATCATACGGAACTCCTATGATGGACTAAACTGCCAAATTGTCCACGGAGGACAACTCACCGACTCGTTTCAAGTAAAGACCGGTGTTAGACAAGGTTGCTTACTCTCACCCTTTCTCTTTCTCCTGGTCATCGACTGGATCATGAAGACGTCAACATCTGGAGGAAATCACGGGATACAGTGGACAGGCAGGATGCAGCTTGACGATTTAGACTTCGCGGATGATCTGGCTCTTCTATCACAAACGCAACAACAAATGCAGGAGAAAACGACCAGTGTAGCAGCAGCCTCAGCAGCAGTAGGTCTCAATATAAACAAAGAGAAAAGCAAGACTCCGATACAATACAATATGCACCAATCAAATTACACTTGACGGAGAAACCTTGGAGGATGTGGAAACCTTTACATATCTGGGCAGCATCATTGATGAACACGGTGGATCAGATGCAGATGTAAGGGCAAGGATCGGCAAAGCAAGAGCAGCATACTTACAATTGAAAAAATCTGGAGCTCAAAACAATTGTCAACCAACACCAAGGTTAGAATTTTCAATACAAATGTCAAGACAGTTCTACTGTATGGGGCGGAGACGTGGAGAAATACGAAAGCCATTATCAAGAAGATACGAGTGTTTATTAACAGCTGTCTACGCAAAATACTTCGGATCCGATGGCCAGACACTATCAGCAATAAGTTACTGTGGGAGACAACAAACCAGATTCCAGAGGAGGAAGAAATCAGGAGAAAGCGCTGGAAGTGGATTGGGCACACCTTGAGGAAATCACCTGATTGCGTCACAAGACAAGCCCTCACATGGGATCCTGAAGGTCAAAGGAGAAGAGGAAGACCAAAGAACACATTACGCCGAGAAATAGAGACAGACATGAGGAGAATGAACAAGAACTGGATAGAACTAGAAAAGGAAGCCCAGGACAGAGTGGGTTGGAGAAAGCTGGTCGGCGGCCTATGTTCCATTGGGAGTAACAGGCGTAAGTAAGTAAGTTATTTTAATAAAACAACATCGTAATTTAGGGGAAAATGTGCAAACATATATTGGTCCTGATAGAATGGAGAATCAAACTTGGAAGAAATTATTAGCCGAAATAAAGAGATAGATACTAACGGAAGTAAGCTCGGTAATATTTATTATCTATTAGTAATGATTCGGGAAGTTATACTCCTAAAATCATCGATTTTAAATTGTTTATTATTAGTTCATCAGTCAGGTACATATTCGTTTACTTGGTTTTGAGTCACAAACTGCATTGATCAATTAGGTGTATCATTATGTTTTAAATGATTTTGTAATTGAATGGCATAGTGTTATTGTGGTGTATGCTACTGATGTCGACAGATATAAGTAGCATGTATCACCAATCGAAAGCGAAATGTCTACAGACAGAAGGTTAAGAAGATCGAAGAAAAAAGAACGAGAACAAAGAGTGATTGGTATGGAAACGAAAGAACAGTCAAATTTGAGGCAATTAGTCGATATTTTGTAGATGAAGAATTTACTGTATGGTTCTCAGATTTTACAGAAAGATTCTGTAATTTGTGTTCAAATACATTTGATTATCTCCACTGGTGTTCTCATTCACTATATTATATTTGTGATTAAATAAACCGTCATTCAATTTCACATTCCTATGTAATGATAACAGACAGTGTATAAAAACAATACACAATATATATATATATATATATATATATATATATATATATATGATATTCATCACAGATTGACTTCAGTTAAGGTAAATAAATTGAGGTCAATAAGTGACAAATACCGGGTACTGATGAAGTAAAATAAATCTTTACCAAACTCCTCCAACAAAACTACACAGAATAATTAAACACAACAATCAAACAAGACAAACATTTTTATGTAAACTCACTTTGAATCATTTAGATTATAAACATCTGGACAGTAGATAGGATATGAATTAAGAGAATCAGAACATGAACCGTCAGTTATTTTAGAATGAATTTTTAAATTATGATCAATCTTGGAACCAAAAAGATTTAAATGCAAACTTGCAGAAACTTTCCAGAGGCTGATTAATTTATTGATATCTGATAAAAAGTAACAAGAAGATATGTTCTTGGTTAATGAATTGCAAGGATATGTAATTCTTTGTTTGTGATACTGTTCTATCAGGAATGGACTATATTTACCTAAGTATTGTTTCATAAACATACATATTTTGCACAAAAGAATTTATTAGTCTAAATGATAACAAATAAATAAGATTGTCATTGAATTAAAAAAACAACATCTGAATACACTTATGTCATACGTAGTATATAATTTATATTGGCATTTAAAAGGTAATGTGAAAAGTGTTTGTTTCCAATATCTCAAGGTAACAGCCACATTTCTACAACAATCCTCGTGTTTACTAGCAATATATTTATGTTATCCACTAATCTATAACTTGAGGGGTTTTAAATAAACAATGCTGAGTAGATAAAGCTAGAGAGAAACAACTACTTAATAGTCTCTGGTTTTCTATGGTTCACCAATTGGTGCCAGTAGTTCGTGATGAGAAGGGAACTTCATGCACAATCTGTTCAAGATTTCTTTAGTGATATACTGAGGAAAGTATTAGTAAGACCTATCATCCACTGGGTGGGTAAATGATATATAGTTACCGATATAAACAGTTTTTGATAAATGAACTTAATTAAGCCATTAACAATGGGGTTTGACAGATAATCTTTAAATGAATTTCAAAGTCTTTAATGAATTCAAGATATAAATGTTTTTATTCCTATCATTTAAATGGATTCGTATAGAAGATTAAATAAGGGAGAATATTACTCTGGAAGTATCATGTAGTATGTAAACATCCTTGTTCATACAACGTACTAACTTGTACCTTCAACATGATGCACATAATTCACAGAGGTTACTATCAAATGCGAGGATGGAATCATACATTAAACAAGTTTATGAGGACGAGAAATTCAAATGGAAAAAGAAACATCTAACGCTCAGTTGCTTGTGAAAAAATCAACACTGAAACGCGGGTAAACGCAGCTAACTAGCCACAAATAGAACAAAACGAGAGTCTTGGATTGTACCGTTAAACACATACATCAATTCTATAGGAAATTTTGACTCATAAAAACTAAGATTTACTATTTGCTAACACGTTTTTATCAAGAACGATAAGTAGATCATGGAAAATGTTCCTCCAGTTTTACAATGAAGATGGACAAGAAGTAAAAGGTGTTGCTGAAGAATAAAAAAGCCTGAACAAAGTAAACAAAATGTTTATATTCTCTAATAGAACTGAGTCTCTATCTTTCTTCTCTTTCCAAATTTATTTCACTGGATTATACTCCTTCAATAACATCTTCAAACCCTAATCTTCCATATTAATGCGTGTATTCTTAGTACTTCTACCACTATGGGATTTGAATAGACAACTGTATCTCTGTGTTAATGTCGTATGGCAACTTGAACTGATGTACATACGTACGAAGTTCTACGTTGTGACTGACTGACTGAATAGAACTGATTGATTTTACTTCTACACAAAACACAGTCCTTAACTGGATAGATAACTGATAATTTTTTAAATGTGAAAATGAAAAAAAAATTTGTGCACAATAACATAAAAATCTACATTTCACATTTGAAACTGTGAGTAAACAAGTCAATAAAGAAATACTCGTATTTACGCTGTGCATCTATGATATATAATCAGAACTGATTGTGTGACGCATAAACATTCGACTTAATGTAAACAATCACTGTCGATTGATCAATATAACTTAGCACATAAGTTATTCTTCATTTGAATCGATTCGATTACAAGATTAACACGATTTCAATGTCGTTCACTTAAATAGTTGACCTATTTACATACAAAAACTAACAACACTAAAATGTTCACCATTATTTATTGTTACTTAAAAAATTTTGAAACAATAGTAAACCTAGTTAAAGTTGGGTGATTTTGAGAAAACTATTTGTATATTGTGACTTAAAGCTGAAAAGCAGTTTACAACCAATGAACACTACATAGCTATTGTAATTTACAAAATAGAGAATTATGAGTGTGTAATGCTGTGATGTCCCAAATTATGACAATGAAAAATGTTAAGTGCTGCTACCTGACTTTATCTCACTCACTCTTTCTAGGTGATATTATTTTGTGACGAGCTTAATCTTCAAAATAAAGAAAACTTATTGTGTAACAACAAATGAAAGAAAACACACTAAAATGATACTTCATTTACCATCATAATTGTTTAAAACGGAACTTGATGGATGCTGCGAAATGTTAGCTAAGAAATTAGCAACTAAAAGATGAATAGGATATTCTAGATGAACAGCAGGAGAGTTATTTACTTTTGCAAAGGATGAATCCGTATTATTGCTACTGTTATCACTACAATAATATGATTCGTTTGTCCATTGGTCCATATTAAATAAGAGTTGATTCACTGATGGTGAAGAATGATGTTTATCGATAAGTGATGTATTATTATTATCTGAATTGTTTAATGCTGAAAGACTGATTAAACAAAGCCAGTTGATTAGGCGATCAAAGTTTTCACATTGGAATAAGTGATCCAAATACCTAGGATCCTGAAATGATTACAATAATTAAAAGAAAATGGAATAAGAGGAAATTGGATGTCGAGAAAAAGACGTGAGATTGTGAACTATGAGATAAAATAACAACTTTAAGAATACATAACAAGAATTATTCATATGACTGTGATATGTAATTTATTCAAAGTGCTCCAAAAGCACAAACTCAAGTACACATGAATGAATAGAAACAACGACAAAAAATCGATATCTCTGGGTTAAAGCTAAAAATAAAGAACAGGTGGTAAAAGGAAAAATTGAACAGTAACAAAAACGTATACGACTGACATGAATAGTTTTTTTCCTTTTTCTGCTGAAACTATACCTGATTTCAGGATAGCGAAGGAATTCATTTGTTATCGAGATGGTTCAATGAGTCAATATTCACAATGCTAGCAATCTAATGAAATCAAGTGACATAAACGTTGAATAGATGGAATATGGCTAGTAGTGGAATCTACGACGCACGTTTCGTCCTGTCTGAGACTCGTCAGCTGGAGGTAAATGCACCCAAAATTCTTGAAGTAAACAAGTAATTTGCAACTTCGACTTCAATAACATGAACAAAAACATCGATATACCCTTTTTTCTGCCCCGCTAACTAGAGTAAGTGGATCGGTTTCTTAACAAAAGCTTTGTTGATGGTGATCCCAGTAGAATCGAAAATACATTTAATTTAATGGGTTATATATTAATTATGATTTATGAACTGAATATTAGTGAAAATTCACTGAAGTACTGTGTCGACGAAAAGGTGTTTAAAGTTTACCTTAAACCTGAAATCGACATTGTTCTTCCTTATAGGTTGTATCTGGTGTTTCCATATCCTTAATATACATACTCCGCACTTCCACACTGCAACAGTCAGTTGCCATATTTGCCTACAAATGCCCTGGTACGGCCGAGAGTGGGGAGAGTCCGCTCTCCCTCTCCAAATGCTCTCACATGACCACGCGTATATAGCCTTTGCCAGAGAAGTCCTACTCACTGCCTTCTCGTGGCATTACTGTTGTTTACAAAATCAAGAGGACGAAAAGCGAATGTCCGGTGCTTTAACCGGGTTGGTGAACATGGAGGGTCCATCTAGGGGAGTTGGAAAACCCTGATTCAAAATCAATGGTGAACAAGGGTTTCAGGATCTTGAGGGGACAAATGGTGTATAAATCAGTCGTTGGTCACCGGCTATCATGGGACTGCATCTCCTTACAATGCTCCACTGCCTTGTGGATCAGATCTTTAGGTTGGAATTCTAATGGTGAAACCACTCCATCAAAAGAACTCACTCACTGATGTAAAAGTTATTTATCACTATTCATCCTATAAGAGTAACCGAGCTAGGACTACGGACAAACGAAATATTTTCAAAATATGTATAAGCTGAGCCAAAAAATAAATACATCTAATCAAGAGCTTACCTTACTGTATGAAATCAAAAGATGCAATATGTAATCTGTAGTGAGTTTTGGATCTTTGCTGAAAGACAATAAACGACTTCGTTTACGAGAAGTACGATAAATATTACTGGGAGTTATTCCAGCCTAAAATTGTTAAGTAGTAAAATTCAATGCAAGAAATATGGTGCAAATTTAATAACAGGAAAAATATAGAGTCAAGTGTTAGAAAAACGTCCAATTCAGACGTTTAGCGATGCCAGAACTTTATCAGTCTTGACAGCAAATAAAAGATACGGAAGTCATTAAATGTCATTCTACTGGTGACAATAATTTACATTCATTTCAATTGGTCTTTAAATATATTGTGGGTGAAAAAAAACGCTACGCTGTAAGGACTTTGACAGTTCAGGGATGTGGTCTTTCAGTGTATCAATCGATCTATCTATCTTAAAGAGAAAAGTCATGTTCAATCTCTTATTCTTCTATGGTCTTAACGCCCGTTCGAATTTTAGAAACTGCAAGTGCTAGTTACTACCTTCTTTTTTAAGTAGATAGTTGTCTTCAGCTTTTATTCAATAGATTATTACTTCTTACGACTTCAGAAACTATCGCAGTGGTGGAATTTAGGATATATCTATAGCTCTATTTATTACTGGTTAGCTACATGTACCTAGAACCCAGAGTGCACTGACGTTTAAATTAAGACCACAATCTTATATCTTCGTCATTTTAAACAAAGAGATCATTAAAGTAGTTTGAAACAGTTTCCGAAAATGAAAATAAATACTATTCCTACTTTTTTAAGAGTGAATCATCATAAGAGTCACTTAGCACGTGAACAAATATAAATCATAATAATAAAGTTATAATACTAGTAGTAGTAATGGTAATGATAACAATTACAATGAACAGTAGTAATTACCTTTACACTCAAATCACATATCATTTGATAAAATAAACTCAATTCATCTGCACGAGTGGTTTTATTGAATTCACTATATTGATTTGTTGAAATGACATCGTCAGCAACGGTAGACACAGCAGTAGCAACATTATCATCGTCATTATACTTTACATAGTGAATTAAATTATACAGTGCATTCATACCATTGCGAATTATGACACCGCCTTTCAAAATTGACAAAGATGACTATCCCGTATTGATGGAAGTTAGGGGGAGGGAATGAAGGACAAAATTTAAAGAGAAATATATCATACTTACTAATCAAACTACATGAAATCAAAACACTGATGACCTGATGATATAGTTCAAAGACATTGGTTATCACTTATATGAAAGCAAAAACATCCACTTTAATATTTGCATAATTATAAAATCGATGACACAAAAATTTAAGCCGGCCATTATATTGATCACTTTTAGCGACCACTTCCAATGACAGTGAAATACAAAATGCTATACAATCAATCTTTAAACAGAAACACGGTTTGCTGACATTAATTTAATAAAATTATTGAAATCATGTTATTTCCAGCAGTTATTGTTGATATTATGAATGAACAATATTTAAAGTTTAATCACCCGGTCACACAGAACAAAGGCTATTGCGCAAAGTGTATATCGTTGTAAGTTGTTTCACCCGATTAGACGATGAGAGATAATACAAGTCCAAAAAGACGTTGAATACAATTTGATTGTTTTGAAATCGATGAAAGATCAAGATAAGATTCGGACCTGATTTTTCCAGTTGAACAATCAGTGATTGTATCATTAAACTCCAGTAGTTACGATTCCAATGAATAAATATCTTAGACAACCAGATTTCCTTATGGGTATGACAAGATAATTTTCGTACAAACCATGGATTCACATGTTAAATACAATTCAGTGATGAATAGAAAGATAAACATTAGAGGTGCTGAAGGCGTGTGGTCAGTCGACACCTTTATGACCCTAGTATTGCTAAAACATATATCTACTTTCGGTATCCTGAAAGGAAAATTGGATTAGTGTTAATGGTCTCATCAGTCTGGAAACATGAACATACATCCTAGCGACTAACTTTTCGGTATCAGTAACACATGTGCATCCAAAATTTCACAATGAGCACTGGAAATCTGTGGAACTGGCCAGAATGAATTATTTTTAAGCATGAACATCCTTAATACATCCTTATAGATTTGTAGCTCTCCAACCAAGCTGTATACTATGGTAGGATCTGAGGGATCCCGTATTACTTCAATAGAGTTCAAACTCAATCACAGAGTTAAGAAAACAGCTGCACAGAATCTATGTTACTATGTAATAGAAAGATTTCCACATGTAAATGACATACAAGTTAAAAGAAATCTTACTAGATTTTGTTCGGAAGAATAACTGTTATAAGGTGTAGAAATTTCTGATTCATCACAATGCTCATACTTCCTTTTCTTATTATCAATAGTATTATGAATGTCTGAATCTCGTCTGGAAAACAATCGTGCTTTTGCAAATACATATGCACTGAAAGTAAAAAAATGAACGCAGTCAGTGATTTTATTTCCATTATTACAAATTACATTGAACGTGGGAGATAAGTTAGATTTACGATTTTATGTCATTCAACTCAACGTCTGAACGGCTTATTTGTTTCAAGAACAGTCAGTATATACGTATGATTTGTACTTTTGGAACAAGTGCGGTAAAACTAAAAAACCTGGAATTTTGTTATCCCTTCACTCTACACAGTTAAGTGTAAATAAATTACTACAAGTGAGTTACGTTATATGTTAATGAGGCAGTATCCCAAAAACAGAGTGGGAAACAACTGAATCAAAGCAGGACTGAAAAGATGCCTTCCTGTGGCCCAATTGGTTTTACTATAGAATACCAAATGTTTACTATACCATTAGAAAGTAGGTCAATATACTTTCAATATCACTTCCAATAGGATCTGTGTATTGACACGTACCTGGGATAACAAGTTTATCGGAAGGATAGAGAGAAAGGATTCTACTAGATTGTCTGATCATGTTCCTATGACAAAATATCTGAGAGGTAGTAAAATCTTTACAAGTGAAATTACCAGATGTCTTCTCGACAAAGGACATAAAGTGGATATACGTAGTACATCCTAAACAACTCACAGACAACGACACTAATTTTATTCCATTTTGTGGAGACAATCTCTATCAAAGCGTTCCCACTAATTTATGTATACAGAACGAAAGTGTGATAAACCCTTTCCTTCCACAGTAACTGAGTGTTCATTAAATAACCTTTTATTGTTCACATAATTATTTGATTATTTCTAATCACGTTTAATAAGTATGCGACTGTTTATTAATTTCATTATGCTTATGTAACGCCCTGTTATCTTTATTATGATTACTAGTAACTACATCATTCATTTAATCATGAATTACTACTTTCCGGCACATAAATGTACATGAACTTTAAGTTTATCCACAAATTTTGTGTCATATTCAGGGAAATATGACAAGGACATTAGACGCCCGTAAATCCAGTCCTTTACAATTTTTGTCAAGTAAAACAATGTTAAAAATACTATAAAGAATCCCATACTACGCAACGAGTTTCGGGGGAAAATTAAATCGTATTTTATGCTTGATGTCGATGTAACGACGTTATTCACAATTAAAATTGTTAGCATTGTTTTCGAGTCACTTTAGTTATGTTCTAAAAACCGACCAAAGATATAACGGCTAAAGAATATATATATACCTGAATTACGTTGCCCGATGTTTTTACTGATAATTAGGAAAAAACCTACTTACAAAATCATACCATTTTCTTGTAAAAAAATATGCTAATTATAACTTGAATGTTTTAACGTAAAGAAAGGACACGATCTAAGACGCATGATTCTGATTCCGGTTGTCGACATAATAACTTAATGGTTATGTCAGTTGCAACGACTAATTTCAAAACAAAAATAACTTAACAAATATAACAAGTTCAGACTATATTCATCAGTGATAAAGTAGAATAGAAAAGAAATTATTACTAACGATAAATACGTTTCTTACCTCCATATTATACATAATGTTGATGTTGCTTTAACTGCTGTTAACACAAAGAAAAAGTTAAGTATGAGAGAAGAAATAATTTAAAAGAAAATAACATTATGCACCATTTTATACCCTGTTTTTGTAGAAATTAATCTGAAACCATACAATGATAAATTATACAAAACCCCGGGTTATTTTAACCTTGTTAAACTTCAGCAACCATTTATTCTTTAGAAAAGTAATTGCTAAAAATTACTGTAAATTACGCTATTAAGTGCATAGCTATGCGATTAAAGACTACCTATTGATATAAAATAACTAACCGAATAAGCATATTTGAGTAAATGACCCAAGATCAGAGATAAATATGTAGGTTGACATGGGCGTCCACATTAAAAATGGTATCCGCCAAAGCACATTATAATGCACCGGACAAATAACACCGGATCATTCGCTAGTCTGTTATCTACTAACCATGAACTAAAATGTAGTTATATCCTGAAGGTCACTCTGTCCTGATTGGCTTAGCAAGAGGTAACGAATAATCTTGTAAAGAACAATCAACACACAAATTACTATCAATAAACCAATCGCAAATAAGTGTTTTTATGACAGACTTAAGAGTTTACATCAGTTGACGTGAAAACAGCAAATCATATGACGTTGACGTTCAGTATGTTGAAACACATATAGCAATGAAGCGTTCCAGTTATTAGTAAGCATTTTTATCTGCATCAGGTTTCTGTTGGATTTAAATGTCATTCAGTGATAATACAAAGTGAGAATAAAAGTTGAAAAGAAAACGATAATAATTATTTGCACCCATAGTGTAAATAAATGTTTTCAAGTCGGTGTGAACTTACAATGTGCGAATAAATGTAGTAAACGCAAGTTGTTAATCATTTTACTTGCTTGACCAGTCATTTTAATCTAAGCAAATGAGTCAGAAATTAAATCAAATCTTGAATGTGGTGAGATTGATTGATATTTGTAAATGGATACGAACGACAAAACAAGGTAGATATGCATTTACATAACAAATATCAAGTGTACAACATATTGGCGTTGTCTACTTAAAAACGCTGAAATGTGACTATTAATGATAATAAGGGTAGTAGAAATGTATAACTGGTTATCTCATAGAGTCGTTTTCTCTAGTAGAAGCCGGGTATTGTACCATGCCAAAAGTGAACTCTGAGCTCCGATTAGGTAAGTTTTGGTAAAGCCATTAGCTGACTTTGGTTTGAAGCAATATATTTCTATTTAAAAGATGACACAAAACGACAGATTCAATCTCATAGTTAATAATAAAACAACCCGACCACTTATCAAAATAATAAAAGATCAAGGCAACTGTAATCTATTATGCATTGATAAACATTAATTTACTGTCTAAAAAGACGTGTTTACACAAAATATTTATTCTAGGGTAAAATTAACATTACGACACCTTCAAACCTTATATTTGTACTTACCAGTTATTAGACTCGGCATTCTAAATAACTCACTTCTATTTAGTCTGTAAAACAAAAGCGATAAGAACAAACTGTTAACAGGCAGAAGTAAGGATGTAAGACTGCAGGAGATATGGATAATTGACGAGTGACTCTATCTAGCTCCTCATAAATAGAATCGATACAATTAGCCCATAGTATGGAAGTGCCATTTGCCCGTAAATTAAATTGAAATGAAAAAGTTATTGTTACTCTATTGGTCGGTTTTGATAGAAAATTGTCCTTTTCGGTTCGCTAAATGAACAAAAACGTGCTTCTAGCAGTTATTTATCATTTGAAAATCAAACACATAAAGGAATACTTGTCAGCTTCAGAGCAGCAGCTGCGTGCTTGTATGAAGTAATGTATATATGTAACGTGGAAAATCAAACACAAAAATGCCTACAGAGATCACACTGACTTCAAATATGGTAATTGCTGAATTTAACTCATATCAAGTTTGTAAGACTGGGAAATTCCCATAGAAGCTAATGAAAAATCCAAACCAAACAGTCAAGATACCCAGTATACAGTTTGTGAGCGGCTATGTTTATAAAACCTTACGATCAAGTATGCGGCTGTGGAGATTGCTTAATTTCATTGAAATCATGGACCGATCAAAGCTAGACTATTACTGAAAACCTGAAAGCATTAGATAACTGTTTCCTTCTGTCATGGGAATTCCTGAGTTTGATTTCCCCTCGCACGGTTGTGGATGAGCACTCTTGAGAAGTCCTATGCTAGGACAGGATGGCCATTTAGCGCTTTTAGGTTTACAATAGTGGTCTAGCTAAGATTGGTTCATGATTTCAATGATAAATTTAGACTTCTGAATACTGATGAGGTGGAACTTGGAGTCAAAATCTTTACCTCAGCCTTAAAGGTTATGGTCAAAATACTGACATACATGGTATGGGTATCAACTAAGATATTAGAAGAAACATGAAGATTAAATAGATCAACAGTTACAATTTTATTGGATAATTCAGCAAAGATAACGTTCATTGGGTATAGATTTGCTATTTTAAATGCACATACTATTCTAGTTGACTAATTTCTTGTTTTCAAACACTAGAATTTCCAAGGCATATATGTATGAAATAACACAACCGTTTCACGTCTCTATTAATTTTCTCGAGTATTCGAACACAATAAAAAAGGATTCGCTAAAAAGTAAAATACACAATAAATTACTTCTGGTAATTTTGTTCTTGTCTTCCCAACTTCTTTATGGTCGAATAGTTGTTTATTAATCGCTTCAAACGAAATGAACCTAACAAGTGTGTGGATAGTTACATACTCCCAATTGTCAGAATTAGAATTGTTACAATATATTGGTCCATAACTATTACTGTTAATACTCACTTATTTTTTTGAGACGCAAAAGTTAAGTTGACCAATAAAGATGGAGCAAATAAGTAACTGCTTAATGTTATTTTCATATAGAAGATTGAAAAGTGCACATATTCAGCCTTTAACACATTGAACCAATAGGTGACAATAATTGTTGTGCAGTAAAAAGTGTTTAACATAAAATTACAATAAATAAAAGTCCTTAAAATAATCGAGTAAATAACGGTAGTTATTCAGGTCTACTAATCACAAGCATTAGATCAATAAAACAAAAACTTGGATAAAACCGTATTTATTTTTATTTGAATACAATAACAGTAAGCATTTGCATTATTGTTCAGTAACTGACGAATATGAATTATGCTTCCATTGGTTGAATGTAAAACTGATCAAATTGAGCTGTCATTTGGATAGCTTGTGAATATAAATCGCTGTCAAACTTTGTACTTGCTTCCTGAGAGAAAACGACCGGTTCCGCTGTAGCATTGATTTCTGTACCTTGCACATTGCTTACGCGACCTTGAACTTCTATAACTCGATTTTCTGGAGAAGCCTATACACGAAGGAAAATTCAAAAGTAAAGGATGACATTTGATTTTCAATTACCTCAAACAAGTCAAACTGACCATAATGAAAAGATTTATGACTACTTAGTAACAATAGTTGCTATCAACTAAAACCATTTTATATACAGGGAACCTGTACATTGCGATAAACCATAAGGCATATTTGATCTGTAAAGTTAACCGTTTATTACTATAGTAACTTAATCTTCAAACCGAAGACAACAGAAGACTTGCTTACCATTTGGAATTTAATAATTGGTTACCTGATATTTTTGACAATGAAAAATAGGTTAAGTAATTAACAAATTTAATAACAGTGAATTGATGACAATAGAACGAGAAAGTGAGAATAAGAAATGGGATAATCAAAATGGGTACAATCCAGAAGATTTGTTTACTTGATATGAGTTTTTGTATTTGAAGATAGTAGTCATATGTCATGAACTACAACTGAAGTATTACACTGTAAACAGTATTATATGTTAGTGTACATCAAATAAAATAAACATGGAACGGTGCTCTAGTATACTGCCCCAGTTCTAACAACTGTAATAGGGTTTTTTTCGTTTAACAGGATCACTAAGGCAGTTGTTATGAAATAAAATATGCTACTGAGACAAGATCAATAAATAAATGTTTGTTTGCAATAATTTTATTTTTGAAAGGTGTAAAACCGGATATGATAAGAAGGAATGGATGTAATGAACAAGATTGTTCGTCATCATGCATATAGCAAATATATCAGTTAACCAGTTTACCACTTAATCCAGATAGACAATAAACTGGAGAAAAAACGATGTAATATGAGGTATTATTTGTTATTATTAATTAACTAACAAGCTGGCTGTGAAATATATCCTGTGTTTATGTATGAAAGAACCACAAAGTGAGTAACACTGACAAATAGCGTAGAATCCCATGTAGATGTGGTAAATTATTATGTCAGACAATAGTAACCCGTTAATTGCACATATTCGGTCCGTGAAATTAACGGGTACTTAATTTGTCAAAATACTCCCGTAAAGGCTAAACTACAGAAGCTAACCATCAGTACGATTTAAATGTACGGATTCAGTTTTTAAGAAGCATGAGTTTCAAAATAACATAAGAATACCTGGAGAGGCGAGAGAAGATTGCAATCGATTTCCCGCCCATCTGCACAGCGTATATGTATTCTTTGTCCTGAAGGGGCAACACGAAGAGCAGTCCCAACTATACATACATCGCGACCTACTAGATTAGGAAGCATTGAACCCGTAACACGGAATCGAGCTATGGGCTTTTGATCAGCAGAATCCTAAAACGAAATGTAGCTAGTAACAAAAAAACTAGAGCCAGCGATCAGAAAGAAGAAATCATGAAGTAATTGTATTTCAAGAGATCTGATTACACTACACAGCAAAACCAAGTTTTCTCAAACATTCTTTATGCTCCATGATCACATCTGCACACTTTTCCTCACCATACATCAGGACGCACTGATCACGCTTGAGACGTGTTTCTGGACATGCACAACAGGGTTTAAGAGGTTTTCCTTCGTTGTCCAAAGGTATTTTTGAAGCAGACTGACTGTTCAGGTTTTCCATGCTCGATGACATTGTTTGAGAAAGCCTACATTGATTAAAATAAAGTGGGAAAGTCGTCTAAAAACATGAACATTTGAACAGTGAGACCAATACACCCGAAACTGAAGGTTGGGACCGAAATAACGTACCAGTGAATAGTGTTCAAGAATATAGGCGGTATATTCACATTGACACTAAAATCCCAAAACATGATTGGAGAATGTTTTAAGGAAAACTGTCAACGAATATTTTTTTATTTTCGTTTCTATTTCGATGTTCCCAACGTGATTTGGCATTTTGAACTGTGAGGTGGTGGTTGCCCCCAAATGCCCTGAGACGGCCGAGAGTGGGGAGGACCCGCCCTCTCTCGAAATGCTCTCACACAGCCAAACGTATACAACCTCTGCCAGTGAAGTCCTAATGAACGCCTTCTCGTGGCGGGGGTGTTGTCTACGAAAGTGAGAGGACGAAAAGCGAATTTTCGGTGCTTTAGCCAGGCCGGTGAGTTCACCTAGGGGAGTTGAGAACCCTGATTCCAAACTAATAGTGCACATGGGCTCCAGTACCCTGACGGAACAAATGGCGTATGAACCAATTGTTAGTCACCTGCTACTCTGGGACTGCATTTCCTCACGATGCTCCACTGCCTTGTGAGTCAGACCTTTAGGTCAAAGGCTCGAGGTATGGCCCCTAGGAAAACCAACTGCTTCGGTTTGGGCACCCGAGCAGTATCATAGCCCTGACACAATTAGAATGAAATGACGATTTTTTATGTAGCGCATATATATCTGGTGCCCACTTGTATCAATGTTTGTGTTCAAATAAATAAAGATGGTGGCTGGAAGTAGTGAACAGGAAGCCCTAAACCTACGTTTTGCACTGTTTGGCACTTGTCAGTAAGGTATGCCTGTAATCTTAGGCTAACTGATGCTACCTGAAAGATCCTATCTCTTTCCGACCAGGTTCAGTCACAGACATTACTACTGAGCAATCGGGCCCACAAATGACCTCCTGTAGAATTGAAATGTATTTACAATTGATTGATCACTGATTAGTAACCGATGTTATATGTTTCACGTCCTTATTAGTTCAGGTCGATTTTTATTGCAATGTGGCCACTAGTCTAAATAATTAGAAATCGCATTTCGAATCTACTAAAACTCCGTCACTAACGGTATTTAACGTACAGACAACGTTGCATTTATAAGAGAACCTCGGAAACAAAAATAGATATTTCAGTTTTGAACCTGGTTTCCTGCAAAGAATAGAGGAACTGGTATACAGAAGCACATGAATGTCATCTGAATGAACCAAAATATTTTGATATGACTAGCGTTTGCCAACTCCGCCTGTAGCTCTTCTACAGTTACTGCCGGTCCCAAGCTCGGGTAAAGGAGGAGGGTTGGGCATGGGGTTAGCGACCCCATCCCGTAGATAAGCTAACTCGTTAAAAAATCGCTAACCAGAAAAATTAATTCAAACCATTTAAACTCTGCCCTGGGAGTTGAAGGAATAATTATGACGTCTCATGATGAAAGCCGAAATTCTTCGGAAGTCACGAGACCGATGCACCTTCTAACAACCAGAGCAACACTCTTTATAGGTACATGGAACGTCCGGACAATGTGAGAGACAGGAAAGACCAGCCAAATAGCAATGGAAATGAGGAGATACAGCTTGGCAGTACTCGGAATCACGGAAACCCATTGGACACAATTTGGACAACAAAGGCTAGGTACAGGAGAGATGCTGCTGTTCTCCGGACACGAAGGGGAAAACGCTCCACACACTCAGGGAGTTGCTCTAATGCTGTCCAAAGAAGCACGAAATGCACTTGTGGGATGGGAATGTCATGGACCCAGGATAATCAAAGCATCATTCAGAACAAAGAAGCAAGGGATCACAATGAACGTTATCCAATGTTATGCACCCACCAATGATAGCAACGACGATGATAAAGATCAGTTCTATGAAAGGCTGCAATCAATTATAGAGAAGTGCTCACGAAAGGACCTCACCATCCTGATGGGAGATCAAAATGCTAAAGTTGGAGTGGACAACACAGGATATGAAGATGTAATTGGACGATATGGATTAGGAGAAAGAAATGAAAATGGGGAGAGGCTTGCAAACCTATGTGCATTCAACAAATTGGTTATAGGCGGCACAATATTCCCACACAAACGCATACACAAAGTTACAAGGATCTCACCGGACCACACCACAGAGAACCAGATAGATCACATCTGTATCAACAAAAAATTGCGAAGATCAATGGAAGATGTGAGAACCCGGAGAGGAGCTGACATAGCTTCAGATCACCACCTGGTTGTGGCCAAGATGAGACTGAAGCTAAAGAAAGACTGGACAACTGGACAAACAGCACTACAAAGGTTCAATACAGCCTTCCTTCGAGATACTGACAAGCTCCATGAATTCAAGATAACTCTCAACAACAGGTTCCAGGCTCTACAGGATCTACTGAATGAACAAGAAACTACTTTGGAGGACAACTGGAAAGGGATAAAACAAGCACTAACTTCAACATGTTAGGAGGTTCTTGGTCCTACGAAGCATCATCACAAGGAATGAATCTCTATGGGAACCCTGGACAAAATTCAAGAAAGGAAGAACAAGATACTAGCAATTAACAACGGCCGAATACGAGCAGAGAAAGTCAAAGCACAAGCAGACCACGCAGAAGCAAACAGGGAAGTGAAGAAAAGCATTAAAGCCGACAAGCAGAAACACATGGGAGAAGTAGCATCGACGGCGGAAAAAGCTGCAAGAGAAGGGAATATGAAACAACTATATGATACAACGAAGAAATTGGCAGGGAGATATAGCAAACCAGAGAGACCAGTCAAGGACAAAGAAGGAAAGACAATCACTGAGATTCAAGAACAGAGGAAAAGATGGGCAGAATACTTCGAGGAACTGCTGAATAGACCAGCCCCATTGAATCCACCGAACATCGAAGCAGCCCACACTGACCTTCCAATAGATGTCACTCCACCAACGATCGAAGAAGTCAAGATGGCCATCAGACAAATCAAAAGTGGGGAGGCGGCAGGACCTGACAATATACCAGCAGAAGCACTGAATTCAGACATTGAAATAACTGCAAACATGCTTCACCTTCTATTCAAGAAGATTTGGGAAGATGAACAAGTGCCAACGGACTGGAAAGGAGGATATCTCATCAAGATACCAAAGAAAGGAGATCTGAGCAAATGTGAGAACTACAGAGGCATCAGTTTGTTATCAGTACCAGGAAAAGTTTTCAACAGGGTGCTGCTGAATCGGATGAAAGACGCAGTAGACGCCAAACTTAGGGATCATCAGGCTGGATTCCGTTAAGATCGGTCGTGCACAGACCAGATTGCGACATTACGGATCATCGTTGAACAGTCTGTTGAGTGGATCTCATCACTATACGTCAACTTCATCGACTATGAGAAGGCGTTTGACAGCATGTATAAGAGAACATCATGGAAACTTCTTCGACACCATGGAGTTCCTGAAAAGATTGTCAACATTATCCAAAACTCATACGATGGATTACAGTGCAAAGTGGTGCATGGAGGACAGCTGACAGATGCATTTTCAGTAAGGACCGGAGTCAGACAAGGCTGTCTACTCTCCCCATTCCTCTTCCTTTTAGTGATTTTGCCCCCAAATGCCCTGGTACGGCCGAGAGTGGGGAGAGTCACCTCTCCCTCTCGAAATGCTCTCACATGACCACGCGTATATAGCCTTTGCCAGAGAAGTCCTACTCACTGCCTTCTAGTGGCGGGGGTGTTGTTTACGAAAGTGAGAAGACGAAAAGCGAATGTCCGGCGTTTTAACCAGGTTGGTGAACATGGAGGGTCCATCTGGAGGAGTCGGAAAACCCTGATTCCAAACCAGTGGTGCACATGGGCTCCAGTATCCTGAGGGAACAAATGGCGTACGAATCAACCGTTGATCACCGGCTACCATGGGACTGCATCTCCTCACGATGCTCCACTGCCTTGTGGATCAGACATTCAGGTCAAAGGCTCCGGGTGTGGCCCCCTAAGAAAACCACCTGATTCAGACTGGGCACCTGGGCAGTATCACAGCCCACACACAAATCGAATGAGATTTGTGAGGCGCATATTTATCTGGTGCTTCCTTGTACCACTATTTATGTGTTTAACTAAATAAATAAATAAAGATTGACTGGATTATGAAGAATTCGACATCTGAAAGAAAATACGGAATACAATGGACTTCTCAGAATCAATTAGATGATTTGGACTTCGCAGATGACCTATCCCTCCTCTCTCATACACACGAACAAATGCAGGTGAAGACCGCAAATGTAGCAGCAGCCTCCGCATCGATAGGCCTCCACATTCACAAAGGAAAATGCAAGATTCTCAAATGCAACACCAACCCCATCACACTTGATGGCAAAACCCTGGAATAGGTGGAAACATTCAAGTACCTGGGGAGCATCGTTGATAAACAAGGAGGATCGGATGCAGATGTAAAGGCGAGGATTGGCAAAGCAAGGGCAGCATTTCTACAATTGAAGAACATATGGAACTCAAAACAACTCTCAACCAATTTCAAGGTCAGAATCTTTAATACGAACGTAAAGACAGTCCTACTGTATGGAGCTGAAACGTGGAGAACTACTACGGCCATCATCAGGAAG